GAAGGATGCATCCCTGCGGCTGCCGAAATCAATGGCACTGATCTCGGTGGCAGCAGGATCTGGTTCTGAGGATAAGTCCACACGTGCAGATACCCAAATTAACTCAGAGCTAGATTAAGTACTGTACTCTGCATATGATTTTCACGGCTATGTATGTGGCTATGTCACAGCTTTCCTACCTCCCTCATCACCTAAGTGGGTCACCAGGCTGTGGCTTCCTGGCTGAGATTGCCAGGATAGAGCAGAAGGGAATTTGAGCCTTTGATTTTTTTAACTGGACTTTGCTGCTAGGACCATCCACAACACACATATTGCCGACGGACGACGTACTGTGTGGGAAAGTTTGGTTCCTGCGTAAATTTGTTCCTGTTGCCTAGCCTGATCAACTGGCAGCTCCCTGTGCAGTATAATGACATCTCTGCTCCCTTTCCCCAGGGTCCAGCCTATCTTTTCTTTGTGGCTATGTTAAGTGAGGGAGAAGCAGCTACTTGATCTTGCCTAACTAACAGAAACATGTTTTTTGTGCTTCCAAAGCATGTCCTCAGCTGGAGAACCGAGTTCATTGAAATTGGCCAAAGATCCACAGCAAATTTTCTACTAGATGTCTAGGAAAGATGGGTGAGCTGGGAATAAAAACTAGGGCAGTTTTCATTAATAGGCTAAAGCTTTCCAAACAGCAGAAGTGTCCTGTAGGAAATGAATCATCTGAAGGAAAGGCAGATGGGTTGGAATTTGAGGAGTTTCCTCCTCTCCCAGAGGTTGCTGCAGGTTGCGGAGGGTCTATTGTTCAATCACCTGCCACGGCTTGGAAGATGTGATGCTTTGATGCATCTCCCTGCCATGGTGTCTCCCCAGCTCCTGTTGCACCTCATGCTTGATGACAGCTCTAGCGATGAGCACTCGGCTATGGGAGGAAAGCGCATACTTTATCTCACTGCTTAGATAGATTTAGAGACCTGTGCTGGACAATCGCTCCAAAGTCTGCGAGTCCCTGGGGATCCTGTGGCTATGCATTTTGTTTATGGGTCCAAAGTCTGCCCATTATTTATCACTAGCAGTTCCCTTCCCGCTTTAAGCAAGGTTTGGGGACCCTGTTCGCCTTCCACAAGTGGGCTTACAGAGAGAGTATTCCTTTGTGATTTATCCATTAATGCTGAACTATCCCGGCTGATGACCCCCAGATTTCCTAGTGAAACCTGCCCTTGACCTCTCTGATCTGCCTTCCACCTTGCTGAATTTCTCACCAGGACCTGATCTGATAACCCCCGGAGTAATTTGTAGCAGGCTCCCACTGATGAAGAAACAGGCGCCCAGCTTCTCTCATTGAAGGGAAGGTGGGAGCAACTCTCCGTGCCATTTAGCAGCAGGTAGTGGCAATATCTTTGCTTTATTTCTCCTCCTCCCTTTTCCCAGGAACAGGAAAAAGAAGCAAGGAACAGAGCTGCCTACATTTCCGCCTTGCCGAAATCCCCTCTGTGGTGGAGAGACTTTGACAGGGACAAGGATGATGACAGCTCGTCGGGGGGCTGCAGCCCTGCTGCTGGGGGAGGAGGATCCGGCTCATTTCACGGACTTGTCTTCTAGGGATCAGGTTAAATCTAACATTCATGTCTACGTGTCTAACCCAGCTGCCAGGCCAACCTGAAGCCAGAGGCCCCTTCTTTCTGACGCCAGTGACAGCAAGCATCTCGGAGAAGGATTTGGCCTTGAATCTTTCAACGAAAAAGAACTCACGGGCTTACTCAGATACTATGTGGCTGGCTGGAGCTAAATGCTGGTGCCTGGAGGGTCCTACCGCTTTCTATGCACTTGATCTTAACGCCTTAAAGTAATCCTAGTAGCTAAGCACCTACGGAGACGAGCAGTTGATGACAGCTCAGAGAAGTGCCCTTTTGCTTAAGCGTAGCCTTGTCTTGCCTGCTGCAAACCCTGCCACCAGCCTGCCGAGAGGACAGGGACAGACCCAGTGTAGCTCCGGGGCTTGAGACCTTCCATGGACGCCCCATTTGCAGCCCAGGCTTTCTCTCAGCGCCGACTCATTTTTGGGGTGCCTCTGCTTGATTTCTTTCCTTTTTTTTTTTTTTAATGCATATTTGAGAACCCATGTGGAGACAATGTAAAGGAACTGCATTTCCTAAAAAAGCTCAGCGGCCAGCATGGCAAGGCAGGTTTGCCTGGGGGAGTGAGCCCGTGAGCCTGCTTCAATCAGAGCGAACATGAGCAGGTCGACTAGCGAGACCTTGTGCAGTTGCCAAGGCAGCATTGCAAACGTCCGGAAAGAAGCTGAGGGGCCCGAACCCCTAGAGCCAAAAGAGACTGACCCTGGTCTTGTTGGGCTTTTTGTGCTTCATCAAGCCCCTGTTGTGTTACCCATTTCCTACAGTGACCTCGCCTGACATTTTGGATGCTATTAATGTACGCGGCGGCCTCAGACACACAGCCCTTTGTTCAGGCACGTCTTTAGGACTCGGTTACCCTTTTTCTGCTATTGTCATTTCCTGGGTTTCTGGGCCAGATCTACTGTTTAGAAATTGGGCTTTCTTTTGGGATACCTTGAATTGAGCATCCAAAAATGGAGACCCCCCCCCCTGCCAAAACCACTAGCTGTTTTTTAAAATACTGATTTGCAAGGACAGTAACCCCAACTGGATGTATTAGATAAACCAATATAAATACATAATATATAAGCCAATGCATTATATAAGCCAATATAAATGTCGGTTTGTAAGGACAGAGGCTGATTTTGATTGTGGGAGGCTGACCTTACCCCTGGGCCACGTGTCTATATGAACGTAGCTCCATGTAATGCAGTTCCCTAGTGGTTGTCCAAGCCTCCTCCTCACTCGCGCCTGTAGTAGAGATTTCTCTAGCTCAAGTGGCAGAGGCTTGTGCCTTAGGTCCTGGGTTCAGAGCCTAATCCTGATGGGGTGGGGAGAATATTGCATTGCCATGGAGTGAAAGGCAAAGCACAGAAATTGCTGCAGATGTTGCAGATGGGAGGTGAGGTCTGCTAGAGAGGACACGTTCTGGCTTGGGATCCAATCTCTGGCGTATACTCTAATATTCTTTTATTGTCTTTCCTATATATAAATAAAGGAGATGAAGTCATGCAACGTGGAGATTTACGGCATGCTTAGTGTCTCATACTGGTAGCTTTACAAAGTGGCTTTGGTCCTTTATCCACTGATGCTTGGGGACATGAGACATTTCTGTGACCTTTTGGTTGTGGACAGCCTCCTGTAACCCATCTGTTGCTGGCCACCCCACTTTGGTGGGTCTCCAGCTTGTTGCTTATCGCTAGCATAGCTTGAGTTGGGGCCGGATCTTGCTTGACCTACTGGGTCTGGCTGCGGGTGCGTGTCCCTCTGGTGGAAGTGTTTCCCCTGTCGCTGTGCCTGCAGGGGCTGGTTTCCCCTTGCCAAATGAGTGCTCCGAGCCCTAAAATGTTGAATTTCCCAGGTTCTCCTACCTTTGAATAGCCTGTGGCCTGGCCAGCAGAGCTGCTGGCTGGACTATGTTTCCCTGCACTTTAAACATAAATAGAGCAGCGTGAAAGAGGAGTGAAAATAAAACCCCAGTCTGAGGATCTCGTCTTCTGTTTTATAAAATATGAGACAAATAAAGATCTTTCAAAACTGAAGAATTATATTTAAACTGCAACTGTTATGAACCGTACCGCAGTAAATTCAAATCCAAGTTACACTGGCAGATTGTAATCCCATTAACGGGATTATGTATATGAATAGCAGACCATATCTATTGTATTTACTGGAATTAAGCCAGATTTAAAGCAGTGCTAATGGGAAATAAATATGGAACCAAAGCTGAAATTATACAAAAAGTACAGAATTTCCTGACATTAATAATAATCTTCTGTCCAAAGAGGTTTCCTAGTGCTTTCTTGTTCCTGAAGGTCAAATTGACTTCCTTCTTTGCATTACAGTGTCACCTGGAGGCATTTACTGAGACCTGGTGCCAGCTGTGCTCGGTGCTGGACATTACATTTGTGGGAGACCGTCTCTGCCTTGGTCGGCTCCTAATCTAAATAGTCAAGATGACAGATAATCAAAGAAAGAGGGAAAAGTGGCCTGAGTAAGACAACATGGGATAGTGGAGTCTGTGCTTATTATTCCCCAGAGCGTGTGTCATGGGAAGAAGAGGATAATGGGGCCCTCTCTGTTTTCTGCATACCATTTGGGATTGCAGATTCCTCTGTCACGGTCTCCTTGCCATGCCGAAGGGCCCAATTCATTACTGTCCCTCACGGAGAAGCTGTTGCATTGCTAAGCTCTTCCCCGAATATATATTTTCTTGTTCTACTCTATGATTTTTCAGATGAGCTGCCCTAAACCACCCGCAGGATTCAACATGAGATTGCAGCCTGGGTGTTTTCAACGACATAATGCGGTTGTCTGTTTTGATCTCTGTTCATATCCTATAATTCTTAGCACTGGATTTCCCTTTTGGACTGAGCCCTGAGCCTGTATTTTCACAGTATTGTCTACAGTTGCTCTAAGATTTTTCCCCCCAAATAATTATTCTCTCTCTATATAGATATTAAAAAAAAAGATATAAATGACTAATTTACTAAATATTTAATATGCATTACTATTAGCATTAATATTCATACACTACATTAGTAATATCACCATTATTAATACCAGCAATAATATCAATATACTATAACACTAGTAATAATATTTATATACTATATATTAGTATAATATTACAGTATGCCATTATTGTAATATAATAATATAGCTATATTATTAATATATATATTAATGTAAACTGCATGCTGGGCTATTGCATTTCAGTGCCTCAGATCTGGCTAAAGAGAGACCAATGGGTGAAATGTGGCTGGAAATCCAGACTTCTCATTTCTTCTAAACTTGGTGTTGATCCAGAAGAGAATTGCAGGTTAAGCAGGGTGGACCTGAACCTCTCTTTCTGACCATTGACGGCCTTGTATGAAAAAGGATTGCCTTTTTCCACTTTGTATATGTTGTTAGTTGCTAATATTTTTTTTAAGCTTGCTTGAAACCCCTTTGTTACCGAACTGTTCTGAATTTTGGTAAGGAACGTGACCTGTGAAATATAGATGTTTGTGGCAACAGCCAGTCCTACACTGCTTTCTGCGTTTACTGCACAGAGGGCACAACCCAGGCGCTACTTCTGTGATCAGGGCTTCTTGTATTAACTGCAAATTTCTCACGCTATTACTTTGATGCTTTTTTACAACCCTCGTGCTTTCATTTGGGTTAAATTAGGCTCAGCTGGCTACACCGGCATTATCTGCAGCAGGGAATTAAACATACCCAGGACCATTTGCTGGCACTGGGGCTGACCGGTGTGGAGCATCCTATGCCCATACTGTGAAGCCTCTAAAGCAGGGTGGTAGCATCCAAATTGCCTATTAGGAATGAGCCTCACCAGCTCCTAGTGGGACCTGGATCCACAGTTAACAAACATGGAGAACCTCCTCCTTTGAAATGAGAGCCAATTTTAAAAATTCTGGAAAAAAGTCTAAAAAGTCAGTCTGGAAACACTTCAGGGTTGGGCTTGGTGTCTCATTTTGCCCCTGCTCCATCGTAGATGTGACGCGAGGAGTTATCCCTGTGGACCCAGGGATTGAGGCCGTGCAGGGCAAGCCCTGGGCTCACTCCCCCTTCTTGTGTTGGGCGAACAGCAGCACCTGCACCCCGGGTCTTTTGGCTTGCAGTAGCTGACTTTCCCACTGCAGTTTCTTTCCTCTATTGTGCTCAGCGTGCAGCCTGCAAAGAGATACTCCTGGTTTCTTGGAGACCTCCGACACCACTGAAATGTGACTGCCCGGAGATGCCACTTGCTGCATGTCTTGCAGTTGTAATGACGTGTGGAGCAGGGGTATGTGAAGTGCTTGTCTCTTGGAAGGGGAAAGCATTTGGCAGCACTGAAATCTGTATTTACTCAGGAGGTAGGTGATGCAGCAAGAGGAAAGCATAGGCTGAAGGGTCTGAAATACGCTTGGTGCTGGCCAGGGTAGTGAGGACTGCTCAGAGCCTGCAATAGGCTGTGCAGATTCCCATGCTGTTTCCGAGCTGCAGGTGCACACATAAGATAATTATATTGCAGCAACATGCCCAAATTGCATTTGGTGTCAAAAGAAGACAGGGCTTTGGCAAATGTTGCCACCAGCTCATCCTTGCCTCACCCTTCTTGGTGGAAGGATCTGGTTGGGTTAGAGGCGGGGTCTACCTGCTGTCCATGGCCAATGCACCTTCACCCACACAGTGGGACTTGTTCTGAGGTTATTTAAAGAGCGATGGTTGGACTAAAGAGAAAAGCAGGCACAAAATGAGATGGCACATGAAAAAGAAATTCAAGATATCCAAAGGCTGGACAAGCAAAGCTCAAGACCATGCACTAACATGACCACCCAAAGCAGAAGGTGAAGAAGGTCCTGCTCCTGCAGTCACTGGCAAGGCTCACCCCAGTAAGCATGCCAAGTCCATGTCTTCACAGCCTTTCATTTCCTGGTGAGGCCTTAGGAGGGTCTGAACCAGCAAATAAACCCGAGCCAGTGCATGGGACTGGGCCTTGGAAGCCCTAGCCTGTTCCCTGCATGGCTTTGGGTTGGGCCAGCTCCCTTGGATGACAGCTGGGCAGGGAGTTAGGAGCAGGTACGTGCAAAGGCCCTGTTGAACCCCACTGCCACTTGCCCTTGGGGTCAGTAAATAGTCCCTAGTCTATTTAATTTACTAGCCTAGACAGAGCCAGCATTACCTAAAAGGGTACCCCAAGCCTTGCAAAATCTGCCCCATCACTGCTCAGATAGGACACCTGGAGCTGAAGAAGGGGAGATACTTCGCAACACAACCTGGAAGTTGCTCTAAATGCTTTAGAGGCATCGCGTAACTCCACTAATTCAGAAATTAATACTCCTTTTCTCCCCCCTTGAATCAATCTTCAGAGTCAGCAGTGAGAGACGTCTTTTTTATTATTATTCTTTTATTTTCCCATTGCTTTTCCGCTGCATATACAGTACTTAAAAACGAGATCACCTTCATGTCAGGCAGGTACCATGTTTATTAACAGCAAAAAAGTATTATCTAGGTTTCACTCAAGACTGATTTACAGGATAAATAATTGTTTCAAAAACAATTGTTTAAAAAAACAACAAAACCCCAAAGAATAAATTAATAACTTAAGTGATTAGCTGTCCACAGTGATTTGAAAACTTAATAACCATTCAAACAGTGACACCACAAGAAGACACTTACTGTACAGTTTGCCACAGATTACTCTTGTCCTTCCTTCTACAAATGGAAAAAAAAAATAAAAATACTCTGTTTAAGAACAGTCATAGGCTTCAAAACACACAAAATATCACTGCAAATAGGCTGCCAATGTGACGGCTCTGACTCCCCTCGCAGCAGTTGAAGAAACAAACAGATAAAGCTACGCTAATTCTGATGGGGTCATTCCCACGCAGTGATCACTGAAGTCAGTGAGGATCTGTTGACTTCACCAAGGGCTGGGCTGAGCGGCATGTCCTACTCCAAAGGTTTGGTCCTAACCCTACAGGATTCATTGGCAGACTCCCCCACGGAGTCCTACTGCCTTCCCCTACATGGGGCAGGCTTCAGCCACGACTTCAGAAGTGCTCTCAAAAGAGATAGTGTATTTTTGGGGATGATATGGCAGCAGAATGTCAAACTGTGCAAAAGGCTTTTCCCTCCACCCCTCACTTGAGAGAAAATGCTTCCCCCCTTGGTAATTAAGGATGGGGGTTTTAATGAGTGGGGTGGAGCAGGAAATTTCATGTCCTGTGTGATGCTGGGCCTGACAATGGGGCAAGGTGTCAGCACCACATGCGGCCCTGCTGCAGTGTGCAGACTCAAACCAGCTCTTTGCATCATTAGATATTAACTAATTAAGCCTCACAACACATCTGTGAGGTGGGAAACAAGTACTAAAAATTTTCGTTTTACAAACCAGAGAGAAAGTGGGATACCAAGAGCTCAAATGAACCCTCTCCCATCTGAAGGTATAGTGTGGTGTCACCCAAAGAACTAGAATAAAAGCAATGGTTTCTTATCTCCTGGTCTTGGGACAGATCTCTCACATGTAGTCAACCCATTCATGTAGAAATGCACCTGGTATATCTTAGTAATGGGCCACATACATAGAAAATTAAGAGCCCTCTGATGGGAAGCAAGTCCACAGAGAAGCTCTTTTAGCTCAAGAGATGGAGCCCTGCAGCCCAGTTTCTGGGTTGGTGGTTGCTGGTTGGTGCTGAAATTTGGACTTGGTGCATGCAGGGAACATGCCAGGACAGGCTGGCTGCGGGCTGGTGGGGTGAGAGCTATCTGTCATGACACCTTGCTACATATCAAGTTTTCTCAAGAGAAGCCACTGAAGTAGCAACCCTATTAGTAAGTAATACATCTCTAGGAATTGTAAGCAAGGAGGTAAAATATTGACTACACAGATGAGAAACAAAGGACGAGCTGACAGAGAATTGCTCCAGTCCAACAAAGAAATTGTTACCAAAAGGTGTAGAACTCTAACTGCATGAACCTCATTAACAGTTGTGAGATCGTTGCATGAATGAGAACACACTAGCACTTTCTGGGCAGTAACATGCTCTGCTCTGCCCTGGGGAGCTCTGAAAGAAAACGCTGAGACTTGGCATAAGGTCCCTCAAGAGGGGCTGTACTCGGCAGGCTGAGTTGCTCGGGTATTCACATAGCATGGACAGCTCTCTGATGGCCAAGTCTTTCCTTTGGCCCCATACCTTGACTGGGGATGGGGTTAGGTTCTGCTCTTCACCCTTCCCGTTACAAATGGGGCTGCTCCACAGGCATGCGTCAATGGCCCTGGACTCATCCAGAAGCCATCCCTATAATGTGAAGTGCAGTGCAGCTTTTAAATGGAATAGCAACATCACAAGCTAGGAAAATACTGAAACAATGCCAAATGTGACTTCAGGAAACCATCCTCTTACTCTTCTGTCAGGCCAGAAAGATCAGCCAGGACCTAGGAGATATTTGAACTTCTTTCTGCCAGAGTGCAATGCCACGTGAGGCACCAGCACAGCTCTAGCCCTCTTGTTTCCCAAGGAGACCTGCTTGTAGTGTTCAGCCTTGCAGAACCACTGGTCCCCAAGTGAAAAACCTGCAGCCCTGCAGCCTTGACAACCAGCTCTTCCCCTGCCGCTGTGAACTTTGTGTGTCTCAGCAGGCGCTAAAAGGAACAAGCTTTCATGGTAGACTCAAGAGAGTGCAAACCTGGGGTGCTGGGGCTTGCGCAGGGCTCCGGTGAGCCCTGGGTGATGTCTAGCCTAGCAAATTTAACAGCCTTGAGCTGTCCCCTGGTCACCTGGACTGCCTGTCCCCTGCATGCCTTGTTCTGGGACAACCAGTCCTTTCCCAGATCCAAGGGAAGGCCCCAGGGTGGATTAGGCCATCTTACTGGGGGCAGATTTAGCCTCAGGGATATGAATTGTGCATTGCCACTTGGCTTCATAGCCAGAGAAGAGGCTCTGGCCCTGTTTAGGATGTTAATAGGACACTAGGAGGACCTCGGGAGGTCCCTAGTCTGACTTCCTGCTTAAAGAGAGGTCAGCAATGGAGTCCGACCCCATTGTTCAGGGCTTAATCCAGTCGGGTCTTGCAAGCCTCCAAGGGTGGAGATGGCACAATCTGTTTGGGCACCCTGAGCTTGGCCGAAACCGTGACACTGCTGCACCCTGACTAGCCCAAGAGAGACCAAGAGGAGGGCATCCTCCAGCTCGGCGCTATGACCACAAACAGAGCAGGGCTCAACCCTCAGCCCCTCCAGCACTAATCTGACCATGCTCTTTGCTTGGGCTTTAGGTCCCCGTCACCTTTCTCAGAGGGCTTCTCCTGCCCAAATGCATGCTGGGGTGCACATCCCAGGGCTCCTCGACAGTCAGAGCGCCACAGCCTCAGCTGCAGCACAGGATGATGCCCTCCAGGCCTGCATCACCCTGGGTAAGACCTGGGAGTGGAGGGAGCGCTCCCCTTCAGGCAGCACAGGACCTTTAGTGATCAGAAGCTCCTCTCCACAACCCACAAACCTTCTGTTTAAATCTGACTTGTAGGTCATACCAAGGAGGGATCGTGTGAGGACCAAGACTCAAACATCACCGCCAAACGCCCCGGCCTTATCTCCTCCCGTCTGACTTCCTGCTTAAAGAGAGGTCAGCAATGGAGTCCGACCCCATTGTTCAGGGCTTAATCCAGTCGGGTCTTGCAAGCCTCCAAGGGTGGAGATGGCACAATCTGTTTGGGCACCCTGAGCTTGGCCGAAACCGTGACACTGCTGCACCCTGACTAGCCCAAGAGAGACCAAGAGGAGGGCATCCTCCAGCTCGGCGCTATGACCACAAACAGAGCAGGGCTCAACCCTCAGCCCCTCCAGCACTAATCTGACCATGCTCTTTGCTTGGGCTTTAGGTCCCCGTCACCTTTCTCAGAGGGCTTCTCCTGCCCAAATGCATGCTGGGGTGCACATCCCAGGGCTCCTCGACAGTCAGAGCGCCACAGCCTCAGCTGCAGCACAGGATGATGCCCTCCAGGCCTGCATCACCCTGGGTAAGACCTGGGAGTGGAGGGAGCGCTCCCCTTCAGGCAGCACAGGACCTTTAGTGATCAGAAGCTCCTCTCCACAACCCACAAACCTTCTGTTTAAATCTGACTTGTAGGTCATACCAAGGAGGGATCGTGTGAGGACCAAGACTCAAACATCACCGCCAAACGCCCCGGCCTTATCTCCTCCCAACTCCATGCTCCTGGTTATGACCTGCTTCAGTGGCTGGTGGCCCTGCGTCCTAAATCCATCCCGATTAGCCCCCTGCGATCCCAAGCCTTAGTCACCTTTTGGTGCTGGCTCCAGATTGGTCTCTATCTGTCCGACCCTTGCTTTGCCCCTGCACGATCCTCTCACACAAACATTTTCTTTCTCCTAACTGGGACTAAGCCTAAGTCTGGCAACCATTTATAGCAGGAAATTTATTTCCCACCCAACACTAAAATGGCAATTCTGAGCAAATCAATTACAAGGCAGTTCATACATTTCAAGGACCAGAACAGCTGGGAGCAATAGTCAGTCACTCACAACAAGGGACACACACTTTCAGAAACATACTGCCTTTAAAAGTACCAGCTTTGAAAGAGGGGAAAGCTTTGTGCCATGGCTCTGATGCTTTGTCAAAGTAAATACAAAGGTCAGGATGCTTGTCAGACATTCAAGCTTTGTCCATGAACACACACATACACACACATCCCTTTTCTTAAATGGGATGGTACAGCTGAAGAGCAGGCTTTGACGTATGGACTCAGGCCAGACCTTTTGCTTGCAATTCAGATGAATCATTTGCAATGTTCTCAGCTTCCTAAAATACCTATTTCTAACAAAAGAGTCAGTCTTACTTGAGCATCCAAGTATAGAGTGAGTGTGATAAACTTAATGCCTTCAGGACAAAGTTCTTGGCAGTCCATGTAATTAAACCAGATGCTTTTCAATATGGTTTAACGCTAAATACTGCACAAACATTAATCATTGGGGACTGGTGTAATCAGCTCAGCAGCCAGCAGGA